AGGGATGTTTCGGTTTTGTAAAGCATTCCCATTAAGAAATCAGGAAGGGATGATAGCATTAGATTAACCACCTACGAGCTGTTTTGTCTTTGGGCAAAGTACTTATATTTTATGAACTCATTTATAGTGTCCATAAATGGCAAAGCTGTTACCAGGCTTTGCCTTCAGAGATCTCCCAGTTACTGAGCCAGCATTTAAGGAACGAGAGTGTCGAGAACAGTAGGTTAACTAAGGTGGTAAATGACCCCAAGATCTCAATGACTTAGCAAAATAAACATTCATTTTATGTTCACATCCCCGTATAGTGTGACCTGTTCAATGAAGTCAAACAGTGATAAAAGCCGTGTCTATCCTATAGCTTCATTTCATTTAGATTCTCAGGATTTTTTTTTTTTTTTTTTCTGAGAATTTTGGATGGCTCCGTGATTTGCTTTGGGAAATGGGGCATCAGAAAACATCATGCAAGCAGAGGCCTGAAAAGTACTTGGTTTCTTGCTGCTCTGGGAGCCTGTACAGTGTATTATTTCCTCCTAGAGTGGGAGAGGCCATGAGAACTGAAGCAAAGCACTACAGCTTACCACCAGCCAGCCAGCCTGACCCAGCAGCTGACTGCAGGTGCATGAACTGCCCAGCTAATCCTGGACTAAATGGCTGTCCTGAAGAATCCTGGCATAGTCATGATTTTAAGTCAAATTTGGGGTTTTGTGTGTGTTTTCTCTTTTTTTTTTAATAGAAAAAGAAATGATGCACTGAGAATAAAGATGATGGAAGATTAGCAAAATACTGGGATTTGCTGAAGCTGGTTGTGATGCTAGCAAGTTCATTTTATTACTCTCTCTGCTCTTTGTATGTATTTGAAAGTTTCTGTAATAACAAAGTTAGAAAGAAAATATTAAATTTCAATATAGCTTTGAAGAATTCCTAGTTAAATTTATTTGTTTTTATTTTCTTTCAATGTTTAAGAATTGCCATTCTATTATATTTAACTTTGAAAAATTATTTAAAATAGTTTATGGTTTCAAAATTAAAAATATAAGATATTCAAAAGTGTCACACTCTCATGTCTGTTCTCTCTCACATTTGTCCTCTCTCTCCACAGTTATCCTCTTATCTTAATTATTAACTGAATATTTTGGTAGATATTTTAGAGAGTTGTTAGTGAACTTGTAGTTAAATTAGCAATTTATATGTAGAAAACTAGGCAAATTAGAAAATATGACAATTTTAAATTTCAAGAAAAACTAAATTTTGTTCAGAAAAGAAAAAGTGGTCACGTTATATGTAGTTAATCAATGAATAGCATTTACAATGACATATCACCAAAAACAGTAATCACTAATCTAACTAAAATTATTATACTACTATACTGGATGGATGAAGGAATGGAAAATTGTTTCCATTTGGGGAATGGTGAGGATAAAAAGGGCTAAGTTCCAATTTCCAAGTGGCAAATAAATAGATAACTTGTAAAAGTAAAAAAAAAAAAATCAAAAGTCACAGTATAGACATGCTATTTAGAGATATGCTAGTCAATACTAAAAAAAAATGAACTAAGAATGAAAAGTTATTTCTGTGCAGATAGGAAGTTGGAGCTACTGTTTTTTTATAACAAGGCTTGTGGTTTATGATGAGAATCGAAAACAAAGTTCAGGTATACAAAGAGTGTGTCAGTCCTGTTTCCTGCTGCTAATAGAGACACACCTGAGACTGGGCAGCTTACCAAAGCAAGAGGTTTAATTGGACTTACAGTTCTATATGGCTGGGAGGTCTCACAATCACAGCAGAAAGCAAGGAGGAGCAAGTCACATCTTAAGTGGAGGGCAGCAGGCAAGGAAAAGAGAACTTGTGCAGAGGAATTCTCCCTTTTTAAAGCCATCGGATCTCATGAGACTCATTCACTATCATGAGAACAGTTCAGGAAAGCCCCAGCCCCATAATTCAATCACCTCCCACCAGGTTCCTCCCACAACACATGGGAATTGTGGGAGTTACAATTCAAGATGAAATTTGAGTGGGGACACAGCCAAACTATATCAAAAACTCATTAAAAAAAAAAAAAAGGAGAGCCAACAAGTCATGAAATACTACTACTAATACTAAGAAAGGCTCATTAATCATGCACTTTCTACGAGGGGTATATGGATTACGTCTCTGAATCCCTACTAGAACAGTATGAGGAAGGCTCTTTTCAGAGTTCCTATACTCTGATAAGACAATTTATGCTTTGAGAGTTGATTAGCTACCTATTGTAATGAATCATTTAAAAACAGCACCTGGGCTGGGTGCGGTGGCTCAGGCCTGTAATCCCAGCACTTTGGGAAGCCAAGGCAGGCGGATCATGAGGTCAAGAGATAGAGTCCATCCTGGCCAACATAGTGAAACCCCGTCTCTACTAAAAAAATACAAAAATTAGCTGGGCATGGTGGTGCACGCCTGTAGTCCTAGCTACTCAGGAGGCTGAGGCAGGAGAATTGCTTGAACCTGGGAGGCAGAGGTTGCAGTGAGCCGAGATTGCACCACTGCACTCCAGCCTGGCGCCTGGTGACAGAGCAAGACTCTGTCTCAAAAAAAAAAAAAAAAAAAAACACACCTGGAAACAACAGGCATTGATATCTCATAGTTTCTCTGGGTCTGTAAGCAGCTTAGCTGGGTGGCTCTGGCTCAATCTCTCATGCAGCCTCAATGAAGATGTCCACAGGGATGCTTTCATTGTAAGGCTTGATGTGAGGATCTGCTTTGGTGTTCATTCATAGGGCATGCTGCAGAAACTTCCAGGCTCACTCCAGTGGGCCTCTTGCAGGGGCTGCCTTGTGACATGGGAGTTGGCTCCTACCACAGTGAGTGATCTAACAGTACCCAAGACAGATCTCACTGCTTTTTATAACCTAATCTTGGAAATGATATCCACCACACTATCATATTCTATCTGATAGAGCAAGCCAGTAATCCAGCCTACTTGGAGGGAGGACATGAATTTATCAGCAGAACATGAATCCCAGGAAGTATCTGTCCATCACGGGAATCACCTTAGAGGCTGCCTGACACAGGGGGAGTAGCTTGTCCACGTTTCCACAGGGAGTAAGTGGTAGCCCCGCCAGGCAAAACCAGCCATTCTGATCCCAGGTTTATGTCCTTAACCACTATGGAACCGCTCACATGCTGAGGGGTGGTGTTTTGCTTTTGTGGGACAACAGCAGCTCTTTCCACATGGCTGTCATCCTGGGAAGGTGGGAATGGTTGGGAGGCCAACACAGACAAGAACTGATTTTCACCTTTGTGACAAACACCCAAGGGCGTTATCAGGTTCAGGCAAACAAAAATAATCCATGAATTATGCTCACAATGTGGGACACAGGCTGTGGCACTCCCACATACCTCCTGCTGCGGAAAGTGTGCAGGAATGCAAGAGAGGATGCCATGAGGACAAGGATAACCTTGAGTTCACTCCAATTTATAACAAGTCAAACCCTCTCAGGCTTCATAACTTTCCTGGTAATGAATTATTTGAGGCACCCCTCACATTTGATCATGACAAACTGCAGCTTCCTCTTCCTGGGATGGGGCATTAGTCACAAGGGGCAGGAGTTGGCTCAGGTGAGGAGTTTGTACTATATATTGAAAGCTGTTGGGAGCCACTGAAATGTTTAAAGCATCACAGGGTGACATGACTGGAGATGTTCCTGCTGCTCTGAGCTACAGCATTTTGTCTGAAGCATCAGACATTCTGTATTCTCATGTATGAGACAGCAGATGTCTCCTTTGTACCCCAACACATTTATTCATGTTAGCTTAATAAAATTTGTGTATTTCCCAAACCTGCAGATTCGTCAAAGCTCCCTATCTCAGGACACCTGAACCTGCCTGTATCTGAGCATGCAGACATTTGTGGCTGCCAACCAAGTTGTGAGCTTTCTGGGGTAGAGATTGATTGCCTCCTCCATGGTTTCAACCTCTGGTGGCAACCACATCTGTTGACATGTACTAGGAACTCAGTAAATGCTTGTTAAGTTAAAATAAACTGAACTTCACTGTGCACTTACTACATGTTATGTATTATACTGAGTCCTGGGTACCTAAAAATAAGGCAGTCCCTTTTAACATTGTTAGTAATAAGCCACATTGTACTTAAGCAGTTCTTTTTTTTTTTTTTTTTTTTTTTAAATTCTTGAGTCAAACATTTGCTCAGCCCCTGCTGTGATTGTCACATTCTGCTAGATGCTGGGGCACAACATCAAATCACATGACCACTACTCTTACAGGTTCTGTAACTCATTGAAAGAGATTAGTATATGGATGATCCAACCTCAGTATACAGTGAAAGCAAGGATCATCCAGAATAGTATATGGAAGATCCAAGCTCAGTATACAGTGAGAGCAAGGAGAAAGGTCATCTCTATGCAACTTGGAGGGTCATGTAAGAGGTGAGGGGCCACATTTTGAGACGCGTTACCTCTGCACTGATTTTAAAAGAGTGAATGAAGTAAAAAACATGGAAAATAAGACTGGGCCTGGTGGATCACGCCTGTAATCCCAGCAGCCTGGGAGACTGAGGCAGGAGGAGCACTTGAGGCCGGGAGTTTGAGACCAGCCTGGACAACAGAGTGAGAAAGACCCTGTCTTTACAAAAAATAAAATTAAAAAATTAACCAGGGTGCTGGCTCACACTGTATTCCCAGCTTTTCCAGAGGCTGAGGTGGGAGATCACTTGAGCCTAAGGGTTTGAGGCTGTGCAATGTGTCATGAGCTGTGATGGTGCCACTGAAGTCACAAAAGAGAAAGGGGGGGGGAGAGACAGAGCAGGAGAGAGATATGAATGAAAAATCTGAGTGTCAAACATCAGGATCAGGGCACTAGTGCGTTAAGGCTTGAGGAATAAGTCAAGGATATAGAACAAGAAAAATGAATACACATGAAGTCAATCTAAGGAGGAGTTACTGATTCCTGCAAAGGGGTATGCAGAGCCAAACAAACTTTCCTCTCTGCTGCCTTTGTTTTTCCAGCCATCTACGAGCAATCCTGTGAGGTGTACAGGCACCAGGGGAACACAGCTGGCTTCTTCTACATTGACTCGGACGGCAGCGGGCCACTGGGACCTCTGCATGTGTACTGCAATATCACTGGTAAGGGTGCAGTATCCCCACTCACACTTAACCGTCCCACTTCATGGTGTGAAGCAAAAAGAAATTCACTGGAGGGGGATACCTATGTGAATAAAAACTTAAAAGACCAACTGGTCTCCTTTGGGTAGGAAATGGTATTCTGGAGAGTAGTGCAAATTTGCAGCTAGGTTAATTTTCAGGAGAGAGAAAAAAGAAAACTTGTTAATGATCTTGATAATGTTTCATTGAAGCAAGAATTGATGATCAAAGGTTTTCTTTCGGGACTGCCAGGGGCATTTTCTCTCTTAAAACTCAAAAACAGAAAGAAAGGGTAAACAATCAAACAAACAAACAAAATTCAAACTCAATGGGAAGCCCCGATTCAGGAAGTTAAAAAGTTTGATTCTAGTCTGGCCAGAGAAACATGTGACCCCTAGGTGAATACTGTAGTCTCTCTGAGCTTCATCAGTGAAATGGGAATAATAGCACCTACTCCTAGGGCAGTGAGGATTCAGTGCAATCGTCTATTGGAGCAGCTAGCCAGGCTGGTTATTCTTAAATGCCTAACCAAAAAAGAAAAAAACAAACAACAACAACAACAAAAAAAGAAAACAAGGTGAGCTTTTTCATTTTGCTCCGGAAATCTCTTGACAGCTTACAGCTTTTTTTCTCAAATGCAGAAGGCCATGGTAAGAGGCAATCATTACATGGGTTTAGAAACGGCATATGATTTTTAATTTACCATGAAATATATTTCCACAAAACCAAATCTTGAGGTAATCATTATTCTAAAATCCAGCTATGTGGCTGGGTGGAGTGGCTCATGCCTGTAATTGCAGCACTTTGGGAGGCTGAGGTGGGCGGATCATGAAGTCAGGAGATCGAAACTATCCTGGCCCACATTTTGAAACCCTGCCTCTACTAAAAATACAAAAATTAGCTGAGTGTGGTGGTTCGAGCCTGTAATCCCAGCTATTCTGGAGGCTGAGTCACGAGAATTGCTTGAATCCAGGAGGCAGAGGTTGCAGTGAGCTGAGATCACGCCACTGCATTCCTGCCTGGTGACAGAGAGAGACTCCATCTCGGAAGAAAAAAAAAAAAAATACTTCAGCTTTTGCAAGCACTCTTACCATTGTGAGAGTGGTTAATTGGCACATACACATTTTTGTTTGTTTGTTTGTTTCAAGCACTGGTCTTCAGAGACGCCAGCTGCATCATGTAATGAAGCAGGAGCGCAGGAGCCTCTTTAGCCTCATTGAGTCCTTGGGCCTCAGGCTTTTCTACAATGAAGCAACCACATTTATGGAGTGCTTTCTGTAGCCAGATACTGTTTTCAACAAAGAGGATATGAGAAGTAAGACACAGTGGCTATTGTTCACGAGGCACTAAGTCAGGTGCACTACCATGAGGTATCTCCAACAGAAATGCAAGAAAACTCTTGAAAGGAATGGTGAGGAAGCCCAGTTTGCCCATCTGGATGCAAAGTCCCATGTTCTTTGTAATGAAAATGTTAGTGACCTGGAATTGGGTGCCACATCCTTGCATTTCCATCATACTTCATCTTTCCAAAATGGTTGTATGATAGCTGCTTTTCAAAAGTCCTATAACATAATTTAAAAGTTCCTGTTGTTTTTTCATGGTTGTGGTAATCTGTAGTGTTCAACAACCTGGTCAAGGACTAGGCTTCTCAGTGGATCTTGGTTATTTTCAAAATGTAATTAACATACAGACTCCTGCTAAAAAGGCAGACTTCCCAGCCCCAGAAATTCCAGTTCAGCAAGTGCACTTTTACTGAGTTTTCAAGTGATTCTCATGCAAATTGTCCCTAGTCCACTTTTCCAAAAAACAGAGAAAGTAATTTGGCTGCAAAATAAGGCAAAAGAGATAAATGCCCACTGCTGAGTGGCCAGGTGTGACTTGTAATAATAGGAGTGGTGTAAGGGACAGCAATTACTGTGCTTTGACCCTCTCTGGGAATTGAGCTGGGAGTTTACAGATACCATCTCTTTTCATCCTCACAACAAAAATCAGAGGCAGACTTTTTTTATCTCCATCTAACATAGAAGGGAAGAGAATATGAGCATTTCATGATTGGCTCAAGGTAATAAATTCTGTGACTAACAATCACAGAACATATATTCATTAAATATAGCTAAATGTTAAAATCTACAAAATAATGTAAGGACCAGGACATAGAAAGTCTGATGGATACATAGGTTTCATTTACATGAAACTCTCTGCCTCACCATCCAACAGCCTTCTCTCAGGGTTTATGTTTGATCATTTGTCCAAGAATGGCTGAAGGTGAATGTGTATTTGTACTAAAGGTTACTGTTTTGCTGATGTGATCCTGAAGAAATCAGAGCCTCTGAATTGTGCCCTGAGTTGATCAACTTGATGTCTATGGTGGGACATTTCTTTTGAATATGATTTTTTTTGGGTTACATACAGCTACAAAATGGATAAGTTTTTATTTTTGTTTTCTAAAATACTAACAAAAATAAAAGCAGGCTGGGCATGGTGGTTCACACCTGTGATCTCAATACTTTGGAAGGTCAAGGCAGGAGGATCACTTGAGCAGGAGTTTGAGACCAGCCTGGCCAACATGGTGAAACCCCATCTCTACTAAAAATACAAAAATTAGCCAAGCATGATGGCACATGCCTGTAGTCCCAGCTACTTGGGAGGCTGAGGCAGGAGACTTGCTTGATTCCAGGAGGCAGAGGTTGCAGTGAGCAGAGATCGTGCCACTGCACTCCAGCCTGGACAACAGAGTGAGACTCTGTCTCAAATAAATAAATAAAAATAAAAGCAAAGCTCTGTGTAGGTTGAACTACACTACTCTCATATTTAAATGGCAAACAATGTTCTGATACATACATGTAATGATGATCAAATATGCTTCTTTCTATTTGAAAAATTTAAAAGTCAAATGCTGTTAAATAGGAGTGATATATAACACTATGAAAAGTGTGACACAGTGGTCCTGGGAAGAGAGTCAGGAAGAAAGAAGAGAAGAAACAGAAGAGGAAAGTTGTGCTGTCTTTAGCACTGGGATAATCCCAGGAGTGTCCAGAGCACCAGAAGGCAGGAAACCCAAGCTCTCCTTCTCTACCCTGTGCCTGCCAGCTCAGCTAAGTGCCTGGGGCCCAGGCCCACGTATCTAAAATTAAAATCTGGGTCCTCTGGCTTCCACAGCCTTTCCTCATTTAGAATTCTCTGAGCTATTCTTTGAGGTTCCTGAACAAAGAGATTTTTCTTCTAAGAAGTCTGCAGGTACTTGCAAATGGATGTCATGTGACTGAAAATGGGCAGGTTTCCATGGTAGAAAGCAATAGTGCATTCAATCCCAGCTGCCTCCTCTTACAGTGCACCCTGGGGAACATTAGCTCCGCCTTCCTATAAGCAAGGTATGCCTAACCTGTCCTGGGAGATGTAAGTCTGTGCATGTCCCTTGCACACAAGGCTGTTTTCAGGAGGGGCACTCCCCAAATGCTCATGCAGCAGCCACCCCATTTCATGTAAAGAGGCATAATATCTGAGAAGCAAAATTAACTTAAGGGAGACGATTGAGCTTATTGATAAAGTGGGCTGAAGCTGGATCTCCACACACTTTTGACAGAGTACCATTCTTGGAACTATGTTCTAAGTGGCTTCACCACAGGGTTAACGAATGGGAGATGGGGAGAGCACAATTTTTGGATGGAGAATTGAGTAAAGTAATGGATAAGAATGTTAAAGAGTAAGTTTCCACAGGAATGCACACTTGCCAGACTTTTAACAGTCTTTTCAAGTGATACACAATTATGTTGAGGTTCAGCTCAACATAATTTTACTCAATATAAATTTGTGCATTGTGGGCACTGTAAAAGTGCTATAGTTTTAATAGTGTATCTGTAGTAGTTACCTAGGGCTCTATAACAAACTACAGGCATAACCGGGTGATAACGCTGGTTTTATTTCACACCACTGCAATAAAATGAGTATCACAATAAAGCAAGTCACATGAATTTTCTGGCTTCCAAGGGTTACCACCAAGGGGTCCTGATCCAGACCCCAAGAGAAAGTTCTTAGACCCACACAAGAAAGAATCTGGGGAGAGTCAATGCAGTAACATTAAAGTAAGGAAATAAAGGAATGAAGAATAGCGACTCCATAGGCAGAGCAGTCCCAAGGGTTACTGGTTGGCCATTTTTATGGTTATTCCTTGATTATATGCTAAACAAAGTGTGATTAATTGTGAATTTTACAAGAAAGGGGTGGGCAATTCCTGGAACTGAGGGTTTCTCCCCTTTTTAGACCATATATGGTAACTTCCTGATGTTGCCATGACGTTTTTAAACTGTCATCGATCTCGAGGGAGTGTCTCTTAGCATGCTAATGCATTATTATTAGTGTATAATGAACAATGAGGATGACGAGAGGTCAGTTTCGAGGCATCTTGCGTTTGATGGTATTTGGCCAGCTTCTTTACTCCAGGCTGTTTTATCAGCAAGGTCTTTGTGACCCATATCTTGTGCCAACCTCCTATCTCATCCTGTGACTATGAAGGCCTTAACCTCCTGAGAATGCAACCCAGTAGGTCTCAGCCTTCTTTTACCCACTCCCTATTCAAGACAGTCACTCTGGTTTAAATGTCTCTGACCCAATCCATATAAAAGTTATGTTTATACTAAATTGTAAGCTATTCAATGTACAGTAGCATTATATAATAAAAAATCCACAAAGTCTATGTCTTAATTAAAAAACTACTTCACTGCTAAAAAAAATGCTAAAAACCTTCTGAATCTCCAGTGAATCTTAAGAGACCCAATCATCTTTGCTGGTAGAGCAAAAAGATGGTAGCGGCTGCTGACTGACCAGGATGGTGGTTGCTGAAGGTTGGGGTGGCTGTGGCAATTTCTTAAAATAAGACAATAAAGAGTGCCACATAATTGACTATTTCTTTTATAAAGGATTCCTCCATAGTGTATAATTTTGTTTGATAGCACTTCACCCACAGTAGAACTTCTTTCAAAATT